GTTGCCCATCGAACGGATGGAGAGCGAACAGCGGACGGGGAGCGGACAGCGGACGGAGAGCGGCTTCGAAAGTCTGGAAGCATTTTCCATGGGTGGCGGCGAGCCGGCGCGGGCGCCGTTAGGGCTACAGGGTTTCGTATTGAAGCCGCTGCGGCGCGTGACGGTGGCGATCACGCAGAACGCGTTCCGGACGGCGCTGCAGGGCCGAAATGACCACGACCACGAGGAGTTGGCTTTGTTGTTGTCATTGCGTGAGGTCTGGGCGGAAGGCATTACGATTGACGAGGCGCCGGAGGATGAGTTGCATTTGCTGCCCTGCGCCTCTCCCGAGAAAAAGCGGCGAACCAGCGGTGGCGGGGGTCCGACGGACCGTTTCGAAAGTTTCGAACAGACCGTGCGGCAAAGATTGGCCAGCTCGGAGCGTGAGCGGCCGTCGTCGGCCCCTAACTTGGCTGAGGGCCGGCTGAAGATCGGACACGTGGAACTCGCCGTGTTCCACTCGACATTGCTTGTCTGGGAACCCGCGCTCGTTGTGCAACAAATCAACGTAGAGTTCGCGCGGAGACCTGCACGGTTGATTTCGCAATCCCCGCGACTCGATTGGCTCGGGACTGCCCGCCGCGCATCACCGACCTGTGTGCTCTCTGTCGAACTGACGAAGGTGCTGGCCACGGCCACGCGCAGCGCCGTGCTCCGTGTGCAGCGCGCACTTTTGCTTAACAGCCGGCTCTTGGTCCCGCCGCCCGCCGTCTCCGTCGGGCCTCTCGCGGACACCAAGTGCGTAGGCGTCCGCGTCTGCCGCGTCCTTAACGCCACCAGCGGCCCCCTCTACGTCGCGATGCGCTGCATCTCGCTGGAGGAACTCGCTAACAAAGGCACACTTACTGCAGCCACCGTGCCCGACCGCGAACTGATCCAGTCCGGCTACGAAGCGGTCTGCGAAGTGCACGTACCGCGCAGCCAGCGACACGCCACAAACGCGGAGGCGCAAATCACGCTTTCGCACCTCCGCAGTCGCGGACGCGGCGGCGGGCGCGGAGCCGGAACGGGAGGCCGCGGCGGAACGGGAGGCCGCGGCGGAACGGGAGGCCGCGGTGGCCGGGGGTTGCAGTCGCGCGAGGGGGTGCGGCGGATGCGGAGCCGCGAGGACCCGGTTGGCGTGAACTTGTTTGACGCGAGCAGCCGGACCGTGCAGATCTGGTTGGAGCGGAACGGCGTGGTGGAGGAGTTGGCGTTGCACCGTGCAGTTTTGCAGTGCAGTGTGTTTGGCGGCGAGTGTCGAATGGCGTTGAGTGAGGAGCCGGACGGACGGATGAGTTTGGCGGTGAAGGATGATTCGGTGTGTTTTACGAGTGTGGAGAACGTGCGTGTGTTTCTGCCTCGTGCGCAGGCGGTGCGTGTGTTGCAGAGTGCTCGGTTTTGTACGGGTGCGGACTACGGTTACTTGGACGAGGATCAGTACGAGGCGATTCGTGCGGAGCCGGAGCTTGCAGAGCCTGTACCACAGCGTTCGATTTCGCTGAGTCGTCGGGGACTGCAACGGTTGAACAAGAAGTCGTGTGAGTTGGATGCTTTACCGGAGCAGTGTCGACATTTGAACGACCAAGTGTCACGCTTATTGCTGATTGCCTTGTCGCGTACAGGACCGGGCGTGACGGTGCTGAGTGCCGTGGACGCGAAACCGCAGAGGGCGACGGCAGGACGGTCGATTGCGACGCGAGCAGCGACGGGTCCGCAGTTCCGGCTGGACTATCCGGTCCGCATCTCCAATGAGTTACCGTTCCCGGCACAGGTGGCGTTGATCATAGCATCGCCGCGTTGGTGTTCGGCTCCCTATGAGTACGTAGTGGACGAGGGCGAGACCGTTTACTCAAAGGCAATGTGCACCTGCGTTACACGACTGGAAGTGGGTGTCTGTGTGGGTCGTGCCAAAGGCTGGGCACGCGTCGAGGACTTGAGTGCGTTGCCCCGCACGGCTGTGTGTGCGCTCGATGAAGGTGCCCGGGGTGTGCTCCACTGCACCGTTGCGCGCGTTGACGGCGTCGTCCGTGTCACACTCGCCGCGCCTGTGTTGCTTTGGGACCTTACGGGACTCTGCCGCCCGCCCGGAGATGTGCTCGAAGTCTGCGGACGCCCCGAACCCCTCCCGGCCAAGGCCAGCTTCGGCGCCAAACCGGGGCTCGCCTCGCTGGGCTCCGACTTCCCTTCCGTCCTCAGTCGCTTCAGCGACAGCGAAGACTGCGACGCACGCGTCTTCTACTTGTCCAGCGCCGCCGGCATCCGCTGCGGCGCCGTGCCGGCTGCGCAACTCGCCAACGTACGCACTTACGAAACGACTTCGCACACCACCGTCGTGCTCGCCAGCCGAGAACTGGAGCTGGTCAACCACCTCGCCTGCCCACTCGTGCTACGCACCGACGACTTCAGTCCCGCGGACGCCAGCCACTGTCTACCCGCTGGGCAGTGCGCGACGCTCGTGCTGGGCGCAACCACACAGGAGCTCTACTTTTACCCGCAGCTGTTGTTGCCCAACAGCAGTCCGCGAGGCCTCGGCAGCTCCCTGTCTGCAGCGCGTTCTCCGCGCGGTGACGCACGCGCGGCGGCCTTGCCGATGGAGTTGTGTTGCGCACACTTGGCACACAGGGGCGAGGGTGAAGTGGCGTCTGTGGGCCCGCACGGGGAGTGGGTGGCGATGTACCTGACGGTAGGTGAGCACGAAGTGCATGTGTACCCCTTCGCACATTCGCCACGTCAGCTTGTCATGGGCGTCTTGCGTCGGCCGTTGGCGGAGGACCCGAATAGTTGGGCGTCTCGACACCAACATCCACCATTGAATTCACCAGCGGCGAAAGAACAGGTGGCGACGGGACAGGTGGTCACGCTGGGGGAGCGCCCGGTGGTATTGAGTGCGGGTGGATGCTTGCCGTTGTTGCCTACGGTGTTGGGCGAGAGTGTACGTTGCGGTGGGGCGGAGGTGCGTGCAGACGACAGTTGGCGCGTCTTTGCTGTGGATGGAGGCCGCGAGTTGGAGTTGCGGCATCGCGCGCTGGCGGAAGATTGTCTAGGCGCGCGAGCGTTGGCGAGCGCCATCTGCTGGACAAGTCTAGTCACCGGTGCGTCGTGCGACTGCAGCACGGTTTCCGTAGAGAGTGCGCCGACGGTGGGCGAGGAGTTGCTACTGAAGCCGCAGCGGGAACGTGTGGCTCTGGTCTGGTCTGCGATCGGAACACCGGCAGCCTGGGAGTGTCGATTGGGTGTGCGCAGTCTGAGCGCCGCTTGTCTGTTTAGCCGCGGCACGGCGCCGGAGGGACTGACGCTGGATTTGAACAGTATGTGTCTGACGTTCGTCGGCCGTGAAGGCTTTGCTCTATTCGATCTAGCACTCGGTCCCTTCTACTTGCACAGCAATGATGTGCCCTACCAGCCGCCGCTGGAGCCAAACGTGTTACGGATGGACGGTACACTGACCCTGCACACACTTCTTTTCGCACCCGCCGCACGCGCGCCACTCCGAATAACACAGACGTTGGTCTTCGGCATGGGCGACCTGGCGGTGTATGCGGACTTTGCGCTGGTGGACGTGGTCTGTTGTGCGCTGGAAGCACTCGCGTTCTGTACCGACGGGTCCTGCTCCGCTCCTGCCGAGCCGCCCGCGCCGGGGCTCCCAGCGGAGGCGCTGGCGCTAGCGCTGACGCCCGCCAGTGTACGGTTTCTGCGCCTGCCGAGCGTCGTCTTTTCCTTCGCACCCTTCCAACCCGAACGGCCGCGTGCGCAGCTCTTGCGCGACCCGAAAAGGCGTTTCCTGCTGCGGTCGCTCGCGCTGGCGGGCGCGGTGCGCGAGGCGCGTCTGAGTGTGCTGGAACCGAGGCTCGCGGCCCCGCGACGCAACTTGGCGCCGGTGGCGTTGTTACGGGCGCTCGTGCGGCTGCGTCCGGCGTTCGGCAGCGCCGCCTCGCTCGTTGGACACCTGGACGCGCTTGGACAGGTCAGCCAGACCGTGGCGGGATTGCGACAGGCGCTCTTTGCCGGCGACGTGGCTGCGGCTGGACGTGTGGCTGTGGAGACTGCCCACACCATCGGGCTGCACGTTACGCAGGCCGCGGCCTCGCTCGCGCAACAGGGCGAGTTGCAGCAGCAGGCGCTGGTCGGACAGAGCGACCCGCCCGTGGTGCTACCGGCGCTGGCGCGGAAGTTGGGCACCTCGCTCGCGCCCGACGACTTTGCTGTTCCGGGGGCGACGGCGACCAATCTGGGCGCGACGGGTCTTGGCGCCGTGGGGTTGGCGGGGCGTGTGCGCGAAGTTGTAACTCGCGCAGCCAGCAGCCGCCACAGCGGCGCCTGTCCGCCAGTGCACTGTTACCGCGTGCTCTGGGGTCCGCACTTGCTTTACGCCGGGCCCGTGAGCGTGCAGGAGTGCCGACTCGCGCGACTGCTCCGCGCCAGCCAGGTCGCCGTCGTTGGTGCAGTGGGAGACGTGGTCTGGACCGTGCACGACCTCGTGCTCGGCGTCAAGGACCCCCAACCCGTCTTGCTGCCCTGGAGCAGCGTCCGTCTAGTCGTTGCTGATTTCGGGCGTAGGGCCATCCAGGTCGTTTCCGTCCACCCAGCTCTCGCCGCATCACCCCCTGCCGCCGCGGCGCGACGCGAACGCCACAGCTCGCCTCGCCAACCCACCGCCAGCCGCCGCGCACTCGCACGCACCCGTAACCCCAACGACGCCGCGCCACCCGCCGACCACCCACTGGACGGAGTTGGACGATCCGCGACTACGGGCGCGTCCTCGCCGGGCAACAAATTCGAGGTGTACGCCGACCCGGAATGTCCTGAAGAAAAGTTCCGACGCATCCTGGTTTCGCTCAAGACCGCCTGGCTCATGCACCGACTCTACTTGGCCAGGAAACCCAGGTAACTTACCTGCCCGCCCTGCTTGAGCACCGCTTTGTGGCTCTGTGGGTGGGCCCCCCCC